TGATTTTAAGAATATTTAGAAACCAAATTGCAAAAAGTGATTATAAAAAAAGCAACTTTTAAACTGATTCACATGAATGTAATTCTGCGGTTTTGGCAAATATATAGAGAGCTTTATTACAAAAAAAAAAAAAAAGTAAAAGATCAAAATGAACATTAGAAAGACCTTTATGTGCAAACAGAGCGAGTAACTGTTTACATTTTGAAACGGTCATATATGCACCTTTAACCGATACATGAATATATTTTCTCCCTTAGGGAATAATTCATTTGTTAGCTGTCATTACGTAATGAAACATAAGCTTTCTGGAAGACCAGCCTTAAAGGGAAACTTCCTTTTTTTTTTTTTTACATCTGGCCCTTGATTTTCTCACCCATATGAGTTTTGTGTCATTTGGAGGGTTAGGGATGACGTCATATTCACGCCACTTTGTTTAAAAAAAAACAGAAATATAAATAATATAACTGCGGATGTCTGGGGGACAGTGATGCTGGCGTACCATAAAGAATAAATTATGAACAGTTTAGTTTGTGCCTTCAAGTCGTTGCCCATAGGAAGACGTAACTTGGATATAGCGGAATATCCTCAGAACAGCTCCAAATGACACAAAACTTATATGGGTGAGTAAAACATGATGTAATAACGTAAAATCAAGGGCCAAATGTAAAAAAAAAATGGCGTTTCCCTTTAATGTGAGATGTTTGATCCAAATGCTCTGCAGCAAACTGCATACAGTATCAGAACAGAGAGGCACGGTGGTGGAGGGATGGAGAGCTGGGCAACATGCAGGTAGCTCTAGAAACAGAAGTGAGCTCTAATTCCTTCATGACGAGTGAGAAAGTCTGAAAGAAAACTACTGCGATTGCTGGCTGCTGCAGGAGGTTCTACAAGCTGTCAGGGCATCAGATTGACGTTAGGGATAATTATAACCATCCTTAATGTTCAGGGCTTCAATGTTCATGTTTTTTTTCTGTGACAGCTTTATAAGGAGGTAACAGATGGACGTGAGGAGGGAGAGGAAGAAAAGGAGGGGGGGCCTCTGATAGAGAGAGATGCTTCTTGGCCACTTTTTTCCCCCAGAAAAGATAAAAAAAATAATGATTTTAAAGCTGCACATATTTCTGATAGCATCAAAGAAGTGAAGCCTAACAAACACAGGAGCCTTTCTCGCCTCGGGGCGTCGGAACAACCTAATCCGGCTATCTGTTTATTTATTTTCTAACATTTATACAACATTTCTAACACATCCGAATCGCCTTATCAATCTGAACCACTGATTCATCAGCAACCGGCTGTGAAATGATTCCTTCTCCATCTTTAGCTTCGGGCCGTGGCTGTTAGAACGCGACGTAGTGGCTGTCGCTAGTGCTGACGATGTCACTGTCGCACTCCAGCGTCTTCAGGACCAGCTCCAGAGCTGCCTTGCTCAAGTTGAGGCTGTAGCGCTGCCTGACGGCAGAGAGGATGTGCAGGACGTGGCAGCCCTTCTCTGCATCTAGGTGCAACAGAGATACATGTGGAGAACGTAGAGGAAAAATCCTGAAAAATGTCGACAAATAACGACTATTTAAGGAATGTCTGCTCACACTTCTCTCTTTTTGAATCCTCCCTGATGACATCTTTGACAGCTATGAGCAGATCTTTGTCTTGTGTGGTCACCTGGTGAGCAGAAAATACATCAGACATTCAGGGAATTCCACCCAAATTAAAGATAAGGCCCCAGCATGGTTTCTTACAGTATACACTTCATCCTGGGACTTGACCTTACGGTAAACCACGCCTTCGTTCTGCAGGACCTGCAGGACCTCCTTCAGGAGCTGGCTGAGCCGCTGGCATCCGGACGGACCAGCAACAGCCTCCTAAACCGCAACCAGGAGAGAAATACTGCCTTTAATGGAGCCATTATGTAAAGTAAAATAAAAATAAAATTCAAAACTGAAACTTTAAAAAAATTCTTCATCAAAAAACGTTTTAAAGGAAGAAGTTATTACCTTCCTAAAATGCAGTTTTTTTTTAAATGTTTTAATGTAACAGTTTAAGTTCCAGCAGATAACTCAGGTTATCCCTCCTGCAAATCTATGGAGTGAATTGTGGTCCATATTTGTTGCAAGTGCATAACATCTTTTGTAAATGGAAAAAAAAATAATGTTTTTTTTGTCTTTATTTTTGTTTTCCTTTATTTTTTTCCCCCCAGATTTCTCTGTTTCTGATTTTTCATGACCTGCCTTCTTTTCAAATTGGGTTTTCTAGATCACATTTTCTTCACCTCTGGGGGCGGGGCTTCTTCTGGAGTGAAAAGCGAGGATGTCTTTCTATTGGTCTGCTGGAATCCGATTATTGTTGGAAGGACGTAACATGTTTTTGTAAATGGAAGCTAAAGAAAAAATACAATCCAGAAATAAAACTTTTAATAACTTGTTAAAAAAAAAAAGGTTTAGAGAGATACTTTTCTATTTTATTTTCATTTTTTTTTAAAGTGTTTTCCAGATTTTTTTAAAATGCATTTTA